TCCATGAGGCAGTTGGAAGTAAACATGTTTTTAGTTTGTTTTTCCAAGTTCTCAAATATTTGTCTTAGCAATTAAATGCACTTCCTTGTTTTGTGATAGGTGCCTCATGGGAATAATGTTGCAAGGGTCTTCTTATGGGCTTGCACTTACCCCATGCAAAATTCTGACCCTTCATTCTGACTGTGGAGGGGTTTGTATTGAACAGGGGAAACCCTGCAAATAAGAATGGCTTGCACAGGAGTCACGAGGAGGATTCAGCTGACTAATCAGGTTTCTGGGGCCATTTTAGATGCTGTAGGGCCATGGTAGGTGCAGGCAGGACACGGGACCTACAGAAGACCTGTGACATTCCTGACTGGCAGCTGAAAGCCAGGCAGGACATGCCAAGGCACCTCATGACACTGGGTGCCTATGCTCAGGCCACTGAATTTCATACCATATTCTGCATAATCTCTTTGTCTCCTTCCAGAATTCCTCCTGTCCTAAACCAGGTGCCTGAGGGGTGTGATGACTTGCTCTCCAGAGATATCTCTCTTTTTCTATTGACAGTACTGAGTGCTTGTTGTCAGGGGAGGATGAAGGTCAATGCTGGAAACTTACTTGTAGATGGATAAATTTAATGGAAATTAAATGGAGATAGTAATATCATTCCACAGTGTATATCTATTCATGAAAACATATTAGGATTCCTTCAGGGCTTTCAATTATCCATCTTCTGCAATTCCAGTTTGAAAGCTGGCAAATATCCTTGCAAGTAGCAGTTATTTTTACATCTGATATTTTAGGTTAATTTAGTGCTCAGTTTCTGGAGTAGAATGAATATTCCTTAGGAAACATAAGCAGAGATTTACTTCTACTGGTCTTCAGTTCTGACTTGGAAAATCCAGTCAGGCTTGCTTGGTTGCCTTTTGGTTGTGGTACTACTACAATATATGTGCTTTAATTCTAGAGGTGAACAAGTGATACAGTTAATCTGGGGACAGCAGGAACATTCTTGTCAAATACCAAGCAGTGAAGGTCTGTGCTTCAGGAGATAGGGAATACTGATTATTTTTTTTAGATTTGCATCAAATGCACAGTAGATAAATTGGTTGGACCATGAATAAAGGAGTTCATTTCTCCTTTCTGAGGCTGACAAAAAAAATAATGATTGGCAGAGATTATAATAGTGTTTTTTTGAACATCATAACCTGATTAGTTTGAAACAAGAAACTCATTTAACAAAACTGCAAATCAATATGCTTGTTAATTCTATTCAAATTGCACTCTCTTCTGACGAACACAGCACACTATATGACAAAACCAGTTCTTCTACCTGTCTTTAGGTCAGCTGAGATATTAGCTATATGTTTATAGGAGATTAAAATCACTATAAAAACTTCCCCCTCTCCCTCCCCTCCCCCCCAAGTTGTAAAGACTTATCTTCTAGGTTAAAGGAAACATACTGGGTGCTCAGAAATTTTATGCAAAAAATTGAATTAAGATAAAAAGATAAAAATGTATTTCATTGCAACTCCTTCCCCCCTCCATCTGGGAGTCAAAAAATTGGGTAGTTGGTCTAAATTGGGCCAAGAAATCTACCTTATAGAGAGAGGCGATTCTAGAGGACAGTTCATCCTGTAGCAGGAGTCCGAGCCAGAGGGCATGATTAACTCTCTGGTGGTGCTTCTCTCTTCACTGACTAGGGAACACATCTTGATACCTGGATTTATGGCTACAGACTTTGGTTTGGCAAGTGTGATTGTCACATCCTTGCAGCCCTTACACTACAGACCTTGGGATGAGCTAGGCATTAACTCAGCTGTCATTTTAACTTTTAGCATGTCTATCCTTAGACGTACTTCAGGTCATTTTTCCTGCAACAGCTTGAGAACCAGCAATGCGGCAGTTAATACTCGGGGACTACCCTTCGTCTCTGAACATGAATGACTATATAAAAGTTGACTAGCTGTGTTAACCTAGAACCTGCTAAGTCATCTGTATGACTTCATAGCTTGAACTGGTAAATCCATGACTCCCAGGTCATATAAGAGTCAATTATATTGGGTATTTCTTAGTATAAACATGACTGCATGATGCTTTTAGATTGCACATACTTCAATGTCACATCCACAGGTTGTTTAAAGGGATAGAAGATTGCTTAAAAAGCATTGATGACTAACTGATACTGCCTTTCTTTGAACCGATTTTCATGCTGGAGAACATTGAGGAGATGATGCTGAGCAGCTTAAACAAGCTGATCTCAGCAAGCTGGGTTTTTTCTTTTAACAACACCAAAACAACTGCAACAGCAAGGCTGGAGGCCACCAGTTTCCTTCAGAGAAACCCATGTCTCAGCGTTCATATAACTGACGGTCAAAAACACGTAACATCATTCTGGAGACCTTTGGGGAGAGGACACAGCTTCCCCAAAAGTCCTTTATGCTGCTGTGAGATAGACCACTCCAGCTTCACCAGTGATGGACAGACATTGATGCTTCCCAGGCTCCTAGAACTGGAGATTTAGCAGCTGTCACGTCAACCGAAGTCTGCTTCTGGCAACATTAGCAAGCCCTGGGGATTTGTTTTAGGTTTGATGTGCTCTAGAGGCATACGTTGGTTAAGACCTTTGAGCTGGCTTTGCTTCACATAAAGCTTGGGACATATGACCCTTGCTAGATGTAGTTGTGACAGTTGTAGAAACTGCAGTCTCCATCCTTCATCTGGGGCTCCAAGTGCCATTAAAAATGTATGTCAAATAGGGCATCAAACACCCCATGTTCATTTAATCTTCAACATTATTAAACATATTCATTTTACACATAAGCTAAGGTGTTTTTGTTACATGTCAAAGCCATAAACTTCGTCTGCATGTTAGGTTTCAGTCTTAATTTTTTCCACCTTAAATTACTCCAGTGGGCAAAATTATAAATAGTTTCTGACTTTATTCAGTTCAGGGTTTATACAGTTGCTTTAAATACACACACATACACAGTATAAGCAAGACAAACTATTATTCTTCAATACATTTTCAAAATCTGCTTAAAATATGCATGAAAGCATTGAAGTTTAGCATGGGGAAAGAGGAGCAGCTTGGTGTGTAAGAAAGATATGATCCTAACTAACTCCTGCTGCCCATTTTTTGATGGACATAGGACATAGGAAGGGACACCTTCCCCTAGATGAGGCTTTGAGCAACTTGACCTAGTGGAAGGTGTCCCTGCCCATGGCAGGGGGTTTGGAATGGATGGTCTTTAAGGTCCCTTCCAACCCAAACCATTCTATGATTCTATGATAAAGACAATAGCATTTTCATTACAGATGTCACAAATAGCAGCTTATCCTTTTCTTGATGGATGTGCTGTTTCACATTTATGATTCCTCCATAACAGACTTCATTACATTTTTTCTGTTCAAGATTCGTCCTATAAAACACAGAATGCCCCGTTATGTGCTAACTCCTACTGAGTGTTGAACTCCTTGGAGGTTGTGACCACTCTGAACTCCCCACAAAAGTGAAGCCGCTTCAAGCCTCCTGGAGCTGAGGGGCATTTTGAGGACCTTTCCCTCACATATGATAGATAGAAATAATTTATTTCTTGTTTAATACTGGGCACATCTCTGCAGCGATGCAAAGCTATGTGTCTGGAACTTAAATTCCACGATTTCAGTTGTGTTTGTAAAAAACCTGCCACATAAACTCACAAAACCTCGGAAGGTCCATTTGAATATGACAAAGAGGTGTATACTTTCCATGTACTGATAGTTGGCTCATTTTTAAATTTCTTACTCAGCCACCATCTCACTCATTTAGTCTGAAGTTCTCTGGATGTTTCTTTACATAAGAGCTACAGGACTAGTGTTACTGAACATATTCACAAAAAATTACAACTGCAAAAATTTTACTTCACTCTTTCTCTTAAAAACATAGCAATTTTCTCCACATACTTAGGACAGCTTTCCGCATGTACTCTTGAATTTTCAAAGACAAATTATGCATGTTTACATCGAGTTATTTCTGTCAGTGGTTCATATAATTAAAACCTAAAGTTATTAACTACATCAGTGTCTATATGTCACAGTCACCTGGTAAGTTCAAATTTACTGAGTTCATAATGAAAATCTGTAACTCTCTCCAAGCACTATTGTTTCATTTTAACAGTGGTGAAAATAGTCCTGGATGAATCAGGGACAATTTTGTTCTACTTTAAAATGCCTCTCTTTCAGTGCAGAAGTTGATAATTTCTTACACTTTCAAAATCTCTGCTTGCTCCTTTGTATGCAGCTGTCACACTAAAATTGCTCTAGGCTTACGCCCTCAGCTTTGTCTCTCTGCACATGTTTCCAGAACTTTTAAGACCCAAAGTGAAGATGCAAAGCTGTTACTTTCTACTACTTTGGAAAAAAAATAAAGTCATAAAGTACCTTGCACTTCTTAAAATTATAGCTTTAGAATAAATTAATGCTTCAAGCAATTAGTACAGTGCAGTGACTTTAGTCTGCCCAGACTGACCTAAATGAAACTTTATTTCATTATTAGCTTGTTCCAATTTCATGGTTGATTCATGTTCAGTGAAAGTCCTCCAGCCTTATCAGATCTTCCACATCTAGTCCTGTTGCTGCTTAGGCACTTTTACAAGATTTCTCTTTGTTTAGTGTGTGGGCTGAGACTAACAGATGGATTTGCAGGATTATGGACTGGTAATACAAATATCCGTTAGCTTTTTTAGCAATAGCCCACCTTTATTCTGCCTTTCTTTAAATAAACCATAATAAAAATTAAATATTTTGGGGGAATTAGCTTCAAAACTAGATTCTACAATTCTAGCAGAAACCATTTCTGAAATTAAAGTAGAAATGTTCATAAGTTAATCAATTTAAAGACTTACTGTACCATATCAGCAGAACTTCTCTTTTTGTTAAATATTTCCATAAATCAACGGCATGTGAAAAAAAAAATAAAGTTTAAAATAAACTATATACGATATATCTTTTCAGCTGGTGGGAACAGGGGTAATTGTCTATTTGCTCTCATTTGATATAAATCCTCCATTAATTTTAGCATGTGATGACATTGATTTTGAATCCTCTTTTTCATCTGTTTTCTCAACATCTGTCTTTGTTTTGACACGGTGTCTTCTGTAAACACGGTAGCCTGGGAATCGACATATATTTAGTATTAAATAGAGAAATTACAACAATTACCTGAAAAAGACACTAATAACATGCAGCCATGTGACATTTTCCTTCCTGATATTGCTAAAACATTCCAACACGTCCAGATAGTTTCATTTTATGTCAACATCACTCATCCTTATAAAAGTACATTTAGAAAGTAACAGGGAAAATATTTTGAATTCTGCTTTTGGTAGTTGACTGTTTTGTGTTCCTGTTGTGTGTGAGGACTTTCAAATTATCTTCTGTATCCCTTGGGAAGCCTTCGGGCTCTTGGCTGGGTCTGTGGGACTGACCCTCACTTCTACGTAAGCCTTGTTTGGCAGGAGCTGGGACAAAGTGGTTCCTCTGTCCCAATGCTGTTGCTGCCAGAGAGGTTGGAGCCGGGGATGTGGCTCACAGGCTGTGTCCTTGGGGTTGTGCTTTGGTGTCGGGTACAATGGCTGGTTTGGGAGTGGGAGCCCAATAGCCACAGCTGGTGTTAGGGGTGAACAACAGGGACAAGGTCCCAGCCCTCAGTAGGTTAGCTGCAGCAGCAACAGTGTAACCCATGAGAAGTCTATGTGGCAGGAAAAAGGGACTTTTGCCTCTTATGGAAGATATTTTTTCTCATTAGCCATGAAGCTGATGCCTGTTCTCTCAACAGTTGATAGGAGGGGGACTTTGTGCACACTTGTGGGGATGGCCCTGCTCTGCAGCTGTGTGCCCATGCACCCTGACATGGTGGAAGAAGGTACATTTGCCCATCCTCAGCCAACGGTAATAACAGTTGTGTTCACCAAGTACTCCCATGTGCCCCGCTGTAGGTGATGGAGGTCCCCTCCCTTGTGCTGAAAAAAAGGGGTCTTCCAAATCTTAAACTGAGCCTTATGTGTTCCTAGTCATGTACAGGGCACAGCAGTGATGCACTGTATTCACCTGGGTCATTATGCACTTAATTATTTTACATTCCATTATTTGTATCCCTTCTTGTTTTCTCTGTATCCATGAAAAATGAGACTGATAATAATAATGATAATCATAATGTTATAATAGAAAATATCTATGCTTTACCTCCCAAAATCAGCAGTGCAAACAACAGCTGGAAAATGCTGTAGACGACTGGGAAAGTAAACATCAGTTCAAGTTCTTCAGGAGTGAATGAGAGCTGTACTATAGCTGAACATAGCTGAGTGTTTTGCATGCCTGTTTCCAGAGACACTGTACGACATCTAAAGGGAATAATATGAAGACAGTAGTGAAATAGCAGCCTGTGGGTCCTTATGATTTTTAGTAACTTGGATAAGCAAGGAACATATAGTAATGTTGTTCTACATCACTACGGTCAAGGGCCTGTAGTGACAGGACAAGGGGTAAGGGGTTTAAATTGAAAGCGGGGAGGTTTAGATTGGATATCAGGAAGAAGTTCTTCACAGGGAGGGTGGTGAGGCACTGGAACAGGTTTCCCAGAGAAGCTGTGGATGCCCCATCCCTGGAAGTGTTCAAGGCCAGGCTGGATGAGACTTTGAGCAACCTGGTCTAGTGGAAGGTGTCCCTGCCCATGGCAGGGGGGTTGGAACTAGATGGGCTTTAAGGTCCCTTCCAACCCAAACCATTCTGTGATTCTATGATAATGGATAACTAAGAAAATTATATTCTTCAGCTCACATAGTCAACAAAACATTCCACAAGTCATATGCCTGTTACCACCAGAACACACACGATTTATGGCAGTTCAGCAATTGTAAAGGACTGTGATCCACCTTCCAGCCACATATGTGGCACTCACTATCATCTTCCTCTCTTGTAATGGTATTCTAAATTGTAAACTGCTGCATCTTCATGAGAAATTTTACTGCAGTCCCAACCCACTTATAAGTCAGGTCTGTCTCCCTCATTTGAAGTGTAGGACAGGGACACACGAGGGGAAGATGTGAAAGTTTAGAGGAAATTGTATAGTCATAATCTGTAAATAAAAATGTGCACAAGAAAAGTTTTATCTACACATAGTATCCCAGATACAGGGTTGGGAAATCAGTGACTCTGTAGCACAGCTAATGTTTAAGAAGCATTCTCAGCATCTTTTAATCATTAAATACAAGCTTTTTTTTTTTTTTTCTTTTTTCTTTTTTTTTCCCCTCCACAACCCAAAAAAGGCTACAGGTCTTTGTCACAGAGAATTCCATACCTGTGCCAAGACAGACCAGCTATGCGGGCCAGTAAGAATCCCAGAGAATAGCCAGCTGCTGGAAATATGGTGCCAATGATCCATATTTTGGGTGAAATAGTCCAGGAGCCTTTGTAGAGTATTCCCCCAACCACAGCAACGAGCACGACGAGGATTGCTCCCAAAATAGAACCAACCTGTGAGAGGAAAGAGGAAGTTCTGTGTGAATAAGGGACCCAAATGAAATTAATGGCATCGATCATAACGTCTTACATGCCTGTCAGTGTCTCTGAGTCACTGAAATATCTTCTTAAACATACAACATAAAGTTTATGGCAATGTATTTCACAGTGGGCAGACAGATTAGATAGCTGCCATTTTTCCCAAACAAGAGATGTACGAGGTGCTTTGGTGTGTGACTACAGATATAGATCAAGGCACAGCTGTAATAAGTACCTATGAAGATACCTGTAAAACTAGCATCTTGAAGCCCTTGATATAATTGTACTTAGAACTGGAGATTAAAAATAATTTCACAGGTATGACATGAGCGAGGAATGGTGCCCGCATTAGAAAGATTTCCCCAGAGTTGTTGGGAAACTGACAGTCTAATAGCTAATATAATGCACTTTTCCTTCCCACTTCTTGGGCAGTCACACTCTGGCCTTAGTATAGCCTGTGGTAACAAGATACTAGATGGTTAGTGATAGGAAATTATTTGCCAAGCAGAGGAGTAAATCTTTAACATGGCTGAAAATTCATGTTTGAAAACTGGCTCTGAGCTTGTATAACATCTCTACATAGATGTAGTCACTGTGTTGATCTTATTTCCTGTGGCTGAATGTAACTGAGATCTTTTCCGCTGCTTGCCAAAAAAAGTGATGACTCACACTCTTCTCAATGTCCAAGTTAAATGTCTGCTCTTATGGCGTACTTACCAGGGATCTCACCGGCAGACTTTCTGGGGCTAAGCTTAGGAGAATCTATTTCTCAGCTAAAAAGTGTACTCCCATTGATCTGGCTTCATCACTCTTTGGCTGAAGCCTATTTAAGAGCATTGAGTGAACAAGTACTTTTGTTTGACTGAGCTATTAACCACAGCCACCTAGGAAGAAGAAACATGGTCTGGCTGTGACAAACCCTTCTATTTCACCTGGCACACCGTCTTTGTGCTCTTATCTATTTCTCACCATATGGACCTTAATCTGACAGCTACGGCTCAATCTTCGCTTGATGCTTCATTGTCCTACATAAAGCAGCCTGTCAATGGGCTCTACAGTGGGTTGCTCACTCGCTCAGGGAGAAAGAGGATGAAACCATGTTTTACTGAGAGAACGAGTGCCTTTTCATGTGAGTTCCAGTCCATGCTTTTCCCTTAACTGATTAAACAGGAATAGTGGAGTTTTGAAACCAGCACTCAGTAGTATCCAAGTTCATAAGTAAGCTGTGAGTGCATTTAAAAATACAGCACAAGAAGCTAACAGTTCAAGAAAAGGAATTGACTTAAAAGGACGTTATTTGTGTTCTATACTTCCTGAGCTGATAGCAGAGAAATGGTAACAAAGTATAGGTAGAATAACAAGTTGCCAGCTTTGTTTTCTTTAAGAACACTTAGAAAATGTATGTGTTAACTAAGAATGGTTAACAAAGGCCGAGAGTATGCAGCACATCTGACAATTGCTTTAAACCTAAACCTAATGTTCCGAATGATTAATTTGCTGATAACACTGAAGGCAGCAAAGTTGTTGCTATTGTGATTATTTTGGTAAGAATAGATTTTGAAAAAAAACATGTATTTTTGATGCATCTGACACTATCTTGCAAAGATGTCTGAATTTTGTAAATATTGTTTTGTTATATTTTTTGTTATATTTTTTAACAGTTGGAACATTTTCAAATTTTTTTAATAATAATTGACTTCACACTCAAAATTTCCCCCCCTCCCACCAATGGTAAAGTGTTTTAAAAGTAGAAAGCTTTTTGTTTTTTAATCCAGAATGTTTTCATTTATTATTATTTTGCAGAGAAAAAATGCTTCCAGTTGACCTGAATGATTTTCCTTCCAATTTCAGTTTACATTATAAACTGAACTCAATTACTAACATAGTTGTAACCAAAGACAAAAGTAGGCTCTTTGGATAATGATGGTTTCTAATAATGTATGCAACTCATGCATGCTTGTGCAGGGGGAAAGCAATACATTTCCACAGTGTCTCATTTGTTTTCTGCTGAAAACTTCCTGGCTCTTATGAAGTCAGATACTAATACCATGAATAGCAATGTACTGCTTCAGTGGTGCTGCTGATTCCATAATTTGTCCATAATTACTAATGTTTCAACCTTATATATCCTACCTTAAGTATGATTTTTGCTTTACTAGGCCATCTGTGGTTAACATACACTCCAAACGAAACGGGAATTACAAGAGCTACCAGTGAAATCCCTGTAAAAAGAAGAGAGGAGAGAAGTTAAGCCCATGTATCATGCAGAAGTTGATGACAGGAGGACAGACAGCCATGCATAGTGGCTGGGGGTATGGAGCAAGGCCTCAGAGGATGTTTCAGCTATGCGCAACCAGAGCATGCATGCATGCTCTACCCACACCTGCCAATTTGCTTTTCTATAGAGTCTGTTATCTTTGGCAGCCTGTTGAAGTTAATTGCCATTCTGCTGAACTCCATGCTCATTCACCTGCATCAGAAACGCTGACAGAAATTTGAGTTTGCTAATCATCACTACCCTGTGATGTGAGTAGCTACGTTAAATGTTCATTTTGTCTGCAGGTGTTTTGCTACTGTACCATATCAACAACCTGTTTAGAGCTTCTTTTGTTTTGGCCTTCCCCCTCCAGTATTTATTTTGAAAGCACAAGCCATGTATGCATTTTTTTTTTCCCCTAAGACAATGGGAAAGGAAATTGAAGAATATGAAAATGACTCTGCTGGCTTTTAAGATTAGCATAGCATGGAACTGCACTTGATAAGCACTAGGGCCACAGCTCTGCGAAGCACTGGAGCATGTATTTCTAAATACTTTGAGTATTTTCTCTTTGTAGCTGGATGAGATTTTTGACAGGAAGTCAAATGAAGCCACTCCTGGTGGTGTAGATTGCAGCTTTTCAAAGAGACTCAGCAGTTTTAATCACTTGCTTAATTATCCACATGTGCTTAAGTACTTTGCCAGATTATGGCCTCAGCACTTAGCACTTGCAGGATTGTGCCTTAAAGCTGTTACACTTTCATCCAGGGGAGGCAGCTATTCCTGCCCAAATTATTCTATATTCTTATCCCAGTATCTTGCAGGTCTCCATTTGGAAAGAAAAACATACACAATCTCGTGATAAGTATCTGTACAATATTTATAATGACTTCACGTCTCTGCTCTGCAGAGTTGTGGGTGACATGAAGTGATCCAGGTACCTAATTCCCATGGTAGTTATTGGAAAGCTGGAGGATGAATATTTTTAAAAAATATGTGTAATTTCTTCATGATTCTGCAAGATGATTGTATAAAGGTAGTTGTTACTAGAGGGGGGATAAAGGAGAGAGTCAGAAGGGAAAGTGCTGGTTCACTGAACTCACCAATGCTGTCGTAGGGGAGCACAATTGTGTCAGAATCAGTCCACATCTTGGTGTAAATAAAAAGGCAAAGTGGCATCATCCCCATCGCAAGCAGTGTGGAGCAAGTTGTCATGCTGATGCTGTGAAGAAATTGGTTAGAGTGACAGTTCATCTCATGCTAAACTATAGTCTTTCTCATTTTCTTATTACCGTTTAATAGCTTATGAAAGGTTGGGCAAGAAATGCTGCTGGCTGCAGTCAATTTATCCTGTATATCAGGTTAGAAAAAAGCTAAATGGAAGGAATGACTTCTGCTGAAAGAAAAAGGAACATAAAATATCAATGTGTTCTGCAGCCACAGAACAATAACTTTTCAGTGCAAATGAGGCAGGCAGACAGGCAGCCATCAGGAAGGTCTGTTGGAAAGTCTGAGTGCTGCCTGTCCAGCTGACTTCTGAGAAGGGGGCAAGCTGGGTGGGGTCACATGGACATCAAATGAAGATTTCCATTATACCAGCAGTTCTGGAGTGTTAAAGTTGCGCTCCAAAGTCCACAGCATAAAACAAAAGGTTTCATCGTCTAGGATGTGTGATGTAATAAAATTCACTTTTCTGGCTTGTTTTGCTATAGGCCAAAGAGTAGATGCTGAGAACGACTCAATGAAATGAATGTAAGTATTTTTAGAATACTTAGAATTTGACTAGAATAGATAAAATTATGCCTACAAATCATACTCCTCTGACATAAAAATCATGAGAGAGGGTTCTAGTTAAGAGACTTTGGAAACTTCCTTATAAGCTTCACTTCTGATTTCTCTTTTGTGTGGCTTTCCCTCAGAAAAGGGACTACTGACCCCCTCCCACAGACTGGGCAGGCCCAGAGAAATCTAGAACAATTGATACAGAAACCATAGGAATATCTGCATTATTTTTGGTTCCAGTCACTCTCTGCTTCAGAGTCTTTGGATATAGCTTGGTAGGAACATCTGCCAAGAGAGTTCCTAAACAGAGAAAAAAAGAACCATGGGCTACAATTAGGGTGAGGTGAAGCCCCAGATGGATAAAAGAGCTTATTTTCCCTGTTTCCTTATTTCCTACATCTTCTTACTGTCCCTGTGTCAACTACATCCTCCTCCAAAGTCTGCCTGTTCTCTAACCCCAGTGCTTGTGCTTGCAAAAGTTTCCTGGGAAGCTGTGGAGGAGAGGAGATAGTGTTTTAGAAGCACTTGTTCTTGTGAAATACCAAGAGATGTCAAAACCAGGTGTCCCTGTGGGAAGCTTTAGAGGCTATCATCTGTGCCTAAATTGCTAACAAAAGTATAAAGACTCATACTTCACCTCCCTGTGATTATGAGCAGTTGAAAACTAATTCCTGCTCTAACACATGGTCCATCTGCACTGGGATGTTTTAAAGCAGGACTGTAGACAATGGTCATGAGTTGTTACATATAAATATAAAATATTATCACCTAAAAGCAAAACCTTTGTCTGATATGATGGGCAAGCTTCCTATAATGCTTTGCTGACTCCAGAAACTGGCCAAGATTCTTACACTGTTATCCTTCTGTTAAAAAGTGAAAATGCTTACATTGCTGTCTCTGCTGTACCTCCTGGTCCCTGCATTATTGTTACAGAGATCCTGGCCAAAAGCCTTTGATTCTTTAAGGTAAGGGTCTTTAACTGAAGAATAATCTTTTATAGGAATTTTCAACTTAATTCACCCTCTGCCAGTGTCAGGATATAAACTGTACTCATATTTATAGCTTCATCAATTTAGATTTTTACCACTGATTTCAGTGGCTCAACTCTGAACATACAGAGCCCAGAAAGCACAGTTTAGCTCAGTGTATTCTTCCAAGGGAAGATTAAGATAGAATTTCAGACTTGTGCTGGATATTTTTCCGTCTGTGGTTTCTTAGACATGTATTTATTGAAATAAAGTATCTTACAGATTCTAATATTATAGGTCTGTCCTTCACAGTGAGGAAATTGGTGATTAGTAGAGCTGACTTCATCCATAATTTGAAAGCAGGTATTACATTAACACCTGGATGTGACAGAAAAGTTCACTATTTTCAAAGGATGGAAAAAATGTCTTATTAAAGCTACAAATATTAACATTCTTAGTCTATTTGCCCTAGCTCCACATATTTCTTACATCTTTTATTTTTTCCATTTCTAGTTCAGATTGGCATATGATAAATTGGATGAATGCTCCAATTTGCATTACTCCATGGGAAACAGAGAAATGATCCTGTTTACTTTACAACAATATAATCAGGGTATAAAAATGAAAAGATGGCTCATTTTTAAAGGCTGTTAGAGTTAATGAACCTCCCCTATGGAATTTGCATCAAGAGTAGGGTTCACTTCTCCTGCGTGTTTGATGTCCTAGAACATGCCAGGTGCCTTACGTATCTGCTTCTGAGTTCAGAGCGCCCTGTCACTGAGAACATCCCACTTAACCACAAAGGAATTTTTTCACTACACCCTGTATGCAGGGCTGCCTTAGCGGCTTCCAGCCTGTAAAACTTTCCCTCAGTTTGAAGACTTTTCAGAAGGTGCCAGGAGCAGATAGAATTACAAGTGATTTTCATTTGCATTACTTCCCAAAGTGAAAATCTTTGCCTTTCTATTCATTGTATAGAACACAAAAGGAGGGAAAATATTTTTCCACTGGTGTTCTTTTTCAAGTACTATTGCATAGCCACTATTTTGCACACAGGATTCAGCTCCTAAAATCCTTTGTTACTTTCCTCTCCCGCTCCCCCCCACCCCAAGATCTTCTAAGAAACAAACCAACAAAAGTAGTTCTAACTCAGACAAAGATTTCATAATCCTTAGCATTTTAGAAGTCTTCATCAATGCTGTTCTCTGCAGCATCTGAAGATTTAGAGCAAAGACATTTTCTAATAGACACAGTTCTGTTGTGTTATCTTCCTGATGAATTCTCAATGAACCAAGGATGTTTGCTGTTCTGCTTACATTTACTACTATCACAGTAACCAAACATCTTTACAAGAAGGAAGCGCCACCATTCATGGGCCAGGAAGCTGAAAAAAAAGCATCAGTCAGTCCTTTTCAATATAAAGTTTACACTGTAAAAAGCCACATGAACTATTTAGAGAATGGCTGCTCTTACCTTAGGTCCATGTCTCCATCCACCCAGTAGGCAAGGATATTGGAGGCTGTGCCCCCTGGACAGCATCCTATGATCATCACCACGACAGCTTGAATAGGAAGCACGTTAAAGGCCAGGGCTAGCAAGAAGGCTGTGAGAGGCATAATTCCAAACTGGCAAAGGAAACCCACAAAAATGCCCCAGGGTCTTTTTACGTGGCCCCAGAATTTTTTAAGTTCCACATTGCAACCCATGGAGAACATCACCATAGCCATCATGACTGTTAGAACAGTACTTAAAATTATGCTCAAAGTTTCATTAAAATCATCCACTACCACACAAGAGATGCCATTGCAAATAGTAGCATTTGCTGGACAAGCCGTGGAGTTTTCTGCCAAAGGCCTAGCGTTAAGTTGCTGGGAAAGAAGGTACGTCTGCATTTTGAAATACAGAGCCGCTCAGTACATCCGAGGCAAACTTTCAAGCCTGTGTAAATCCTTGTTTGTCAGTGACTCCTTTTAAATGCTCCAGGAAGCAATAAAGTGCAATAAATACTTGCACACTGTTACTATTCTTGAAGGGTTTGGCACAGTGCTGATTCACTTAGTTATAAAAGTTGCACTTGCTGGGTACTGTGACAATCATTTATTCATATGATAATGAGGAATCCCACATCAAGAGAATAGCTGTGTTAATATTTAAGGGTGTAAAGGAGTCTTGTTGTGTAGCTAAGCACTCAAAAGGAGAATCACAGGAGGAAGTTTAGACTCCATTCTCTGAATTTCTTGCATGACTCCAGGAGAGCCACTAATGCGTGCACTGTCACTGGCATTGCAGGGGTCTGTGGGGTGGGAAGGGGTGACTGAGCCACGAGAAACCCCAAGCCAGGGTGCTGAGCTAGGATTTGAAGCTGCAGCTGTTGCTAACTGATGCAGCATTCGCCATAACACACAGGCTCCTTCGAATGCGGTGAGGTCCTTTTTTGGTCATATTTCTAGCATAACAGAAGTTATGACGGGTGTACCGTGGTAACTCCCACATGGCTGCATGCACATTTGTGTCAATTTTGGCTCCTAAGCACAACTTCCAGGTAATCCTGGCACTTTCTGCCAGGTGTAGGTGGTGCAGTCATGTTTTGCTCCAGCTTGTGCTGGAAATGGTGGGCAGTGAGTGGAGGAGTGAGGTGGGGGGAGGAAGAAGATGTGTTTGTGGAGCTGACTGTGGAGAGCGGAGAGTGGGCCAGTAGGGCTAGCATGCCTCTTTGGAGCTGTGGTACCCAGTCAAAGCCAACCATGTCCCCTTCAGCACAGCAACACATCCAGCATCCATACTAGGGTGAGGGTGCACGTCACCTTTTTTGCTGGATGTGGCATGAAAGCTGGGAGACAGGTTTCTCGTGCGTGGCTTTGGTGTGGCTCGGTGTCCTCTGTCAGCCCTGTGGCTCACAAGGGATGAGAGGCAGAGCAGATTCCCTGGGAACCTTCTGGTGTGTGACAGCTCTCGGTCATGCTCTGGCCGTGCGTATGGCATAGTTAGAGGTCTTGTTTGTATGTGGGACCAGAGGATCTTCGTGGAGTCCTCAGTGTACTTGCCTTCTGCTGCGTGTCCCTGTTCTCCCTCCCCTGTCTTGATTTCACATCCTTCTCTCATGTATGCTTTCCTACAGAAAAACATCATCAGTGAGCACCTAGAAATGTTTACTGTGCTTATCACCCTACTAGGTGCATGCTATGCAAATATTCATGCATTAAATATCAATAATTTTGTGCTAAAGATAACCTGCAAGAGCAAAAGAAGGCAGGAGAGCAGCCAGATGAGGTTGTCATGCCAAAACAACAGCAGCAACAGCAACAACCACAAAACATTAGAAAGCCTGGATAATTTTGACTATATAGCATACCTGAATCTCAGTCTCAGGTTTCTGAAAGACTACCAAATTCCTTCGATCTTTTAGTCTGTCAAAAGTTTACCCCTCACCCTTCCTCCAAAATTGGGAATGTTTTGAAGGGTAACATGCTAAGCCACAATTATCGTCAACGAGCAAGACTCCCACTGTAAGCCTCAGCATTTTGTACCTGACCTCAGTGTGCAAAATGGTAGGTGTCGCTGGGTTGTTTTTTCTTTTTTTTTTTACTTTAAACCATGAACTGTTGAGGGGGATCTGACCGCATTAGAAAGGATTTCCCAGCATGCTCAAATGGCACCTGTTTCTTTACAAGGGGGTCAGCTAAATGGCTGTATCTCCTAAGGCACTGTTGGGTGCCTGATGGGATAATGTCAGAGTATCTTTATCCTCCCAGGTAGCTGGCAACTCCTACCCTGTGATTAGTGCCACATCTGCGTGAATATGGTATATCTAATAGAATAAGTAATAAGGAGATGAAAGGAAGAGAAGGCTACAAGATTTTGGTTTAGCAGAAATCTTATTCTCCTTATTTTGCTTGCTTTCAAACAAAATGTTTTAGGAGCCTTTGTATTTCAACCCAAGTGTTTTAAAGGGCTAGTTAGGTTTTAAAAGCATGTCTGTATTAACACTTTCTATAAAAACAGTATCAGAGTCAGGATTTGCATTTGGATTTGCTTCTTGTCGAAACTAAAATTTTTGACTAGAGCATCTTGGAATCTCCAACTAGCCTGGAGGCTAGGAATGACTTGCATAGGTCTGTAAATACCTCTGATGCTGTGGGAAGCCAGGGTGAGTGCTTTGGGAGAGGAGGTGGGCGATCTCCAACTTACAGCAGCCCTGTCTCAGGCAGAGCCTCATCGAGGGAGCTTTGCCTTCGCTTCCATCCTCCCTCCTCCTGACAAGTGCATCTGAGCTGTGAAGGCACGCTCAATGCCACCCCTCAAAACAGCACAGAGGATCTGTCCCTGGTCTACAGCCTCTCCTGAGAGGTGAGAGTGTCCAGCTCTCATTTTGGAGTTTGGCTTCTGGAAACGGAGTGGAGGGGGAGACCTTCCTGTTCAGGCTTTGGGCTCGACTGAGGACAGGTGGGACATCAGCCACTCCTCTGCACGGTCTTTTGCAGGTTGTGTGAACTTTATCTGTACTTACTGCTAGATTTGCCTTGGCTTTTCTCCTCTAATGTCAAAGGGATGGTTCTGAGTCACTAGTCCATCAGCTAACTGTATAAAACTGTAGATCACAAAAAACCCTTTCTGGGAAGAAAATTGAGCCCTTCTGAATTCAGCTCATTATTAGGCTGACCATGACACAATTTAACACAGATGCTAATATCTATTTTAAGAAATCCTCATGTGTTGTTAGGCAACTAAAACCATATCCAAGACATAGAAATATTTACAGGCACAGTTAAAACCTCAGTGTGTCGCAGGAGGTACAGTGTTATCAAGTAGGCAGGCGGCTCTCTTAGGAGTGCTGGATTTTAAACATTCTTCTAGTCTGTTTTGCTTTTTACAGTGTGCTTCTGGGATTTAATCTATGTGCAGGCTAATACATCAACAACTCCAAATTTGGCTGCTCTCTGTAAGCTTCTCTGACATCCTCAGGGAAAGAAACATTTCAGAGGTGGTTGTACTGAGCTGTACAGCTTCTGGTTTATTGCCTGTTTTCCACTCGGCTTATGCTGCTTAGCTGGTGAGATGGACTATGTACTGCTCTGTGAACCAACCTGGCATCTTTTGCCTATTCCTGTTGTGTGTGTTATTTGGTGTGATTCTGAGCATCTGTCACTGACGTTCAGAGAAGAAAGCAGCAGTGAGCCTGGTGGCCTGTCAGTGATGATTGCCCTCCCTGGTCTGATTCTGGACACTGTCTGGCGGCATACATCAAAAATGAAAACAATCAATACTTAAACAGAGAAATAACAGCCTAACTGTCTGTTGGCAGCCCAGCACTACCAAATTGCCATGATCTGCACAGTTTTCTTGAATTTCTGTGGTGATGACGTTGTCAGCTTGGACAAGTGAGTTTAGCATCACTTCAGAAACAAATCCAGGCAGATGAATCCTGTAAGGATCTGTCCCTGTGTCGACAATTAGGTAATTGATTTATCCATTAACTCAAGCAGTGATAAAACATGAATAGCAGTAAGTGCATACAGAGCCCTGCACTGGGAGAGACAATTTAACAGTTTGTCTTTTATGGCTGTCTGGTGCTTATTTCTGTGATGTTTCTCTTAATGAGACTTATGAATCTTCCCTGTCTCCTTAATTCAGACTCTGAGATGCTTCTTGGTATATTTATGTCTGGGTTAGAAGAACCTTTTCTTTCAGATAATTGATTTCCTAAAGGCAATTACCTGCTTTATACCACCATCTTTAAAAGAGAGAAAACAGTTATACCTGGTAATGGTGACCCTGTTTATAACTTTATACTTTCGTATAACTATAGATGGAAGATTTTTTTTGTTTGTTTGTAAAAAGTTGTAATACATGATTGGAAGTTTATAGAGAGAATAAGAAAAGAAAATCTCATTGGAATAGCAGGAGAGAAACTTCTGACACTAAAATACATCTAGCTCAGGATAGCATCCTAAAGAATACTGAAAAGTCAGCTGTAAAACTGACATACTGAACCTTCACATTTACATTTCTGCATTCATTGTCTGGTGCACACGTCTACATTCCACCTGTTAGACTCTTGAGCTGAGGCTCAAATGAAACACCAAGGGCATGGCTGCTCTTGTATTTGGCTGTTGATGAACTCAGCTTGGAAAAAAAGCCTGATGTGTTACTTACTTGGGTGACAGGCAAAAGTAGTTTTCTGGTGTACTAGCCCTGAGAGCTGCACCTCATGCCCATGGCTGAACTCGGGCACATGCTAAGTAGTTGGCTTGGGGGATACAGTTCTGCTATGATTTGTCAGAACTCTAAATATAGTGTGTGCAAGGAGAAATACATAGTGCATTTGTATTTTGTGATATGTTTCAGCCTTGCCTATCTAAACCATAACAGAAAGGGCAATATTCCAGTGTACCTGTCTTCAGCAGCCAAATGCAAGAATTTTCAATTGAACAGAACGTCTCATCCTAAAATTGCATGGTTACTATCTAACTGTAGGTAAAAGTGTGCAGTTTGAAAAAAAGAAGTCCTTTATAGTCTATGGCTTTTTTTTTTTCCAATATGTGTATGAGGGCAAGTCTGCATTTCCATGCTGTTCAGCAAGAGCTGTCTGCTATGAGACAAACAATGCAAGTCTGCCAAAACATAAGCCAGCTTTTTGTCTGCCAAACTGTAAGAGTGACCTCTGACATCAATTAAAAAGTTGAAAGATAGGTAATTTCATACTAAATCAAAGAAGTGAGTCATGCTACCACCTATAAAGGTATAAATTTTGAATGATTCTATTGGGTTGCAATCCCTTTATAAAAGCATGTTTCTCTTGTTCCTCAGTAAGGATTGACTCAGACTTTGAGGGCTAATACACTGTGCAAATATTTCAGTGCATTTACCTGGCCTATCAAGGTTGTAATTTTAA